TGAGTAGATTTATAGGAAGGGTAGAGTGAAAAGAAGTGGGGAGGAAGTGTATTCCAGGAGAAGGGGTAAACATCTGCAAAGGCACAGAGTGGAGAGATCATCTCCTGTGTGGATAAAGGCCAAAAAAATCTTTCCCACTTCATTTGTCACATTTGAATAGGGAAGGCAAAACATAGATTATGTTTGGGGACCTCTAGTAAACCTCACTGAACCTATTTATTGACCTGTTTGGGTAAATCAAAAATTCAATTCCCACCCCAGTGATGATTCCAAAATCTCATCAAGCACCTGAACCACCTGGAGGAGCCATTTTAAAATTCAGATTTCTACACATTAGCGACAGAAATTCTAATTCAGGAAGTCTAGAGAGGAGTCCCAAGAGGATAATACTTTAAATTTCCCCCAGTGATTTTACGCTAACTCAGCACAAAATCATACAGGGTTCAGTTCTTCACAGGAGGAGTTCAGTTGCTTGAACTGAAATGCTCAGAAGTAAGTCTTTTGTAGGGTGCTGGAGGCAGCCCTTGTCCCCTGGTGGCAGGTGCTCCAGAGCCCAGAGAAATTGTATGTGGGGCCTGTTGCCTGGTGCCTGTGCATGTACAGGTGAAAGCAAGTTAAAATTAGTATCCAGAGGATTTGAGAGGAAGCAGATGTGGTAAAACACTGTAACTGAGAAGATTGTATATATAGACCATGCCTTTCTGGTCAGTTTAAGGAAGTTGGCCAAATTTCTTGGCCTCAGAAATTCTTCATTTTCAAAAATTATTGCAGACCCAAAGACCTTTAGTTTATCTATCAATAGTTACCATGTTAGAAATCAAAACAAATATTTGTTAATATTACTATTACATTTAGTACTTTAAGATAAACTCATGTTACTGAAAGTAACATGCTTTTGTGAAAAATTGGCATATTTTTTTAAAAATAAAGTTATATGAGAATGACATGGTTTTACTTTTTATTCGAGACAAGGTCTCACTTTGTTACCCAGGCTGGAATGCAGTGGTACCATCACAGCTCACTGCAGCCTTGACTTCCTGGGCTCAAGTGATCCTCCCACATCAGCCTCCTAAGTAGCTGGAACTACAGGCATGCACCACCATGCATGGCTAATTTTCATAATTTTTTGTAGAGTCAGGGATTTGTCATGTTGCCCAGGCTGGTCTCAGACTCCCAGGTTCAATCTAGCTATCTGCCAACCTCAGAGTGCTGGGATTACAGGCATGACTTACTGTGCCTGGCCTGTTTATATTTTTGAAAATTTCTTTAATGTCTGGTTTAATAGAAAACATTTGATTTGTTGTAATGTTGTATGTAGGCTCTGGAAAGCTGTACTGTACATGCATGAGAAAATAAGAGTGAAAAAAGCAAATAATGTCTTAGTATTATTTTGAAAAGAATTTTGCCCTTCAGGTAACTTGATAGAGTCTTGAGGACCTCACCCAGCAATCCCCGGATCACAATTTGAGGCCCTCTGACTATGTACTACCTCTTAGGCCACCCTCAGACCACCTCCCACTCCCCAACACACACATGCCATGCACACATATGTACACAAGCTTCCTAGGGTATACCTAGTTACTGCCTAGGCTCTGCAAAATATAGCGTCTGAGGCAACCACAGTAAATATTCTATGTGAAACAGGCTTTAGATGAACATTAAGAAGGTAGCTATGTGTTTGTTGAATGAATAAATGTTGACTGTTCATGCACCATGTACCCCAATATGCTGTTCAATCAGCTTAGACATCTTTATAGCCAGCCTTTTAGAATCTCATTGGTTCCAAATAAGTTAATATTTGGAAGCTGATATTTTCAATCATGGTTAGGCTTGAGGGGAATGGGTGGTTGGTCAAATGGTCCAAAGTTTCATTTAGACAGGAGGAATAAATTTTGTTGACCTATTTTATAGCAAGGTGACTGTAGTTAATAACTGTATATTCCAGAATTGCTAAAAGTAGATTTTAAATGTGTTCACCATAGTGAAATGATAAGTCTGTAAGATGATAGATGTGGTAGATATAGGACATTTTCTAGGGAAGGTAGTCTTAACTAGTCAGAAGCGAACATCAAAATTTGACATGTACTCATTGGTGGCAAACACTGACCTGAATAGACATGAGGCTCTTTTCCTTTTTCCTACCTGATATAACTATTCCAGCCGGGGATGATGGCACCTCACGGACTGCCTCTAATCCCAGTGGGACAAGAAGGGGAGAGAGATGTGGAGGGCACCTCACCCCATAATCAAGCATATTACAGAAATGCATTATGCTGTTGTACGTTTTGCCTGGTCTATGTGTTAGGAATGTTTCTTAGTAAACTGCCTATGTTTAGATTCCAAAGCACATAGATCTGTCTTAAGGACTTTGGATAAGAGATTGAGGGCAGTTACAGCTGCGTCAGGATTAAATATGCTAATATGCACACAGAATATCTGGAACAGTACCTGGCACATAGGGTTTTGTTAAATAAATAGGATAATTTCCCCAAGTAAGCATAGAAACTATTGAACAGAAAATAATACTTACTTGACTGAAATTTTCACATAAATGAAAGATTGATTTTTATTTTTTCCTCTTGAGTTAGGCAATGGGAAAAAGTGGCAAGCTGCTGTTTCTCTAATTTGTATTGGGGAAAATAGTAATGGTGGTGAAGGAAATAGTTCATTAGTTTTGTGGATCTTTCTTGTTATTAGGAAAGTTGTGGAAATTGAAGGTGCTTCAGAATTGGTCATTCCATCAATTGCTACTGAGCACCTATTGTGCGCCTGGCACTGCTGGTTACTACAGATACGCCAAGCCCTTGTCCTTCAGCCACTCAGTGCCTATTGGGAGAGAAAAAGTTGAAACAGCTGTCGTGCCAAATATTCCGTTTTGAAAGTATCAGCTTGGTAATGCCCTCTAAATCAGGCGTCCCCAAACTTTTTACACAGGGGGCCAGTTCACTGTCCCTCAGACCGTTGGAGGGCCGCCACATACTGTGCTCCTCTCACTGACCACCAATGAAAGAGGTGCCCCTTCCTGAAGTGTGGCGGGGGGCCGGATAAATGGCCCCAGGGGGCTGCATGCGGCCTGCAGGCCGTAGTTTGGGGACGCCTGCTCTAAATAGAGGATAAGATAGGATTGCCAGATAAAATACAGGGCTCCCAGTTAAATTTGAGTTTCAGGTAAACGATGAATAACACTTCAGTGTATATCCCAAATACTGCATGGGATATATTTATACCAAATCCAGTATTTATCATGTGTAATATTTGGGACATGCTTGGATTATTGGTTTTTTTTTGAAATGTACATTTAACTGGACATGCTGTGTTTTTATTTGCTAAATCTAGCAACTGTACTTATAATCTTGGGCTATTCTTGGCAAGCTCTGAGGAGGAAATAGATGTTGCACTCTCGTTGGGTAATTGAGGGGTCTTTTTCAAAAGATGAATTAAAAAGGTATGGAAAACCAGCCAGGGATGATGGTGCATTCACTGACTGCCCCTAATCCCAGCCAGGCAAGAAGGGGAGAGAGGTGTGCAGGGCACCTGACGGGAGTGGCAGCCTTCCTGGAGCGGGATGTGTCCAGCCAGCAGAGATTCTCATAGAGGAAAATTGGCAAAAACAAAACCTCACTCTGCTCCCTCCCAGCCTCACTGTGCTCCTGTGCTCCAGTCTCCTGGGAGTGCCTCCTCCCCACCTAGAGGTTGGAGGGCAGAGGGGCTGGCCTGGTTGATGCCCTCCACACAGGCAGCCTGGTGGGCACATGGGAAACAGCCAGCACAGTGCTGATGTGTGTGCCTGTGTCAGAATGCTTTTTTTATGGCTCCAGGAGGAGCAAAGTTGGGGGCGGGGGGTGTTGGGGAGGAGAGAAGAGGAAGAAAGAAAAGGGAGGAAACAATAGTCTGAAATTTGAAGGTTAAGATAAAATGTAAATTGGTGCTACCAGTGATTCTAACCAAAAGTAGTTTTGCTTCTACTAGCTGCTGCTTTTTTTTCTTCTTTAGAATAACCACAATTTCTTGCAACAACTTAATGGATAGAATCGGGGCATGTGGCCTGCTGTATTAGGCCTCTAACCTGATTCTTCCTACAGAGCCTGCATTTGCATGGCCCTGGGAATTAGCACTTTCTTTTTTTTTGAGATGGAGTTTCGCTCGTTGCCCAGGCTGGAGTGCAATGGCACGATCTCGGCTCACCGCAACCTCCGCCTCCTGGGTTCAAGCAATTCTCCTGCCTCAGCCTCCCGAGTAGCTGGGATTACAGGCACGCACCACCGTGCCCAGCTAATTTTTGTATTTTTAGTAGAGACGGGGTTTCACCACGTTGACCAGAATGATCTTGATCTCTTGACCTCGTGATCCACCCGCCTTGGCCTCCCAAAGTGCTGGGATTATGGGCGTGAACCACCGCGCCGGGCCTGGAAATTAGCACTTTCTTAAAGTTAGCGCCCTCTGCCTTACTCACTCATCCTGCTCAGGCCCTGGCTCTGAAGGTGGGATTAGCAAACTTTCACCCTCCATCACATGGAGAGGGCAGAGCCCTACTCCTAGTGTGCCACTCTGCCTCACCAGATTGTTTTCTCCAATTCGTGCAAAGCACAGCCTGTAGTACTTAAACAAAACTTCCAATCAGCTTTCATTTTGCCAATGAAAATACTTTATATTAATAATATGATACTCAGGAGCTAGCTGGTGAAGGGTGAGATGACAAGGATCTTTGAACTGCTGAGCTACCATATTGAGTGTGGAATTTTTCACTGGGGCTCTTGAAATGCAACTAATAACCTGGAGCGTGGGTTCTTGAATGGATGGAGTACTTTAGGTATTCAGATGTTCACCAGATGTACAAGAGGGTAGGTGAAAATTAATCCACACATACTGGTCATGGTCCTTTTTTCATGAAGTATTGAGAAGTACTTTACAGTCTGTCTGGCCCTGCGAGTTAGTCTCTGTTCTTGTCTGCGATTGGCACCATGGAATGATTTCTATCCTTTCTCCTGTCACCATTACAGTTTCCCAGGCAAGGCTTGCAGCAGACCCAGCAGCAGCAACAGACGGCCGCCTTGGTACGGCAGCTCCAGAAGCAGCTTTCCAGTAAGTAGACCTGTGTGTCATAGAACAGATGCCTCCTGGGAAATTAAAAATAAGCAGGCCGGGCGCAGTGGCTCAAACCTGTAATCCCAGCACTTTGGGAGGCCGAGGCGGGTGGATCACGAGGTCAAGAGATCGAGACCATCCAGGTCAACATCGTGAAACCCCATCTCTACTAAAAATACAAAAAATTAGCTGGGCATGGTGGCGCGTGCCTGTAATCCCAGCTACGCAGGAGGCTGAGGCGGGAGAATTGTCTGAACCCAGGAGGCGGAGGTTGCGGTGAGCCGAGATTGCGCCATTGCACTCCAGCCTGGGTAACAAGAGCGAAACTCCGTCTCAAAAAAAAAAGAAAGCCAGCGAAACATAAGTGGTGGCTCTCCCAAAATGGTACTGTCTTCCTCAGTACAACTTTCATGGTATTTGGTTGAGCCCAAGGTATTTTCATTCTGCCTTGGTTTGGTTTTGGCTTGAATGTTTCCTTTCCTGGGAAAACCCCAGTTTTTCTCAAATTCAGTGAAGCTCTTTTCTTTTTGCTTCCACCAGAACCTAGAAAGGTTTCTTTTTATTGGGAGGACTCCTATGGAATCAAAGGTGTCTTTTTTTTTTTTTTTTTAAAGCTGGAGGGTTCAGGGAGCATAAGCTAATGCCCTTAATTATACAGATGAATCAAGTTAGCTGGCCTTCCAAAGATCTTCAGATATAGGGAGGCCAGCACTAAACTGTCAGACTGTGACAATTCTTACCCCTGCACCATCCAACCCTTCTGATAGTGACTCATAAAGCAAAACCTATAACGTCATAGACAGCATGGCAGGGCAGTGTTTTCTCCCTAGTACTCTTGCCTTTAGTGCTGGTGTGTTGTTTTTGTTTTGATGTGCTGCCTTTCTAGAGAACATACCAATAGCCCATTTCATCATACCTCATCTCAGTGCCAGCAGTGTGCTCCCATGAATTGAATCACCCCTATGCTGGGGCCATAGGACAGGAAATCCTTTTAGGAATGGGAGCAAGCCCTCTGTGATGCAAAGAATATTGGCCTGGAAGTCCGGAGATGTAAATGTTGGTGCTAACTTGGCCACCATTGTCTGGATCACGTAGTTTTTCCATCCATGCAGTGAGTGAGACTAGCAGTTTCCTCTGGATCTCGGATTACATACCTGTGAGGTACAGAGTAAAGGCCGGTTTGTGGGGAAGGCAGTAGTGCAGGTCTTATAGCCTGCTGATGCTGTAAGGAAATGGGTCGTGTAATTTCTGAGGGATAGCTTGGTTTTGGTCTTAATTTTCTGCCTGGCTGCTGTGTGTTGATTTTCTAACAGAGGGAATGTCCTCTTACACCTTGTGTGTCTACCAGTGCATACCCAAGATTTTTTTTCTTCTTTAAAAATATTTTCTTCTTAGGGATCCATTTAATGTCAGTTAAATCAAGAAAATATTCATTTCTAGCTACTGTTTAATAGATGTGGTTTATTAAAACACATTTGTAATTACAATCTCATGTTTCACTTAATTCTGGAATTCTTATTCTTGCAGAAAATATAATCTTAAGGCAGATTTTTCTTTTTCTAGTGTTTAGAAATAGGTACCTATAATTTTTATAAAGTGGAACCTGTTTGGGTGAAGATATCTGCTCTTAGTTTGTCTACTAGCGCTCAGCTTTTTGTTAAACCCATCATTCATGGAGTATTTTCTTGGATCCAGGAACTGAGACTTTCCATGTATTGATTCGCTTTATTTTTAAAACATCCCATGAGATTAAGTATTGTTACTGTTCTCACATTATAGATGAGGAAACAACTGAAGAACAGGGGACTAATTTGCCCAAGGTTTTTTTCAGCTAATAGAGCTAAGACTTCAACCAAGAAGCACTGCTTCCAGAGCCCACATCTTAACCACAGTACAGACTCTGCTGCCTGATAAGCAGTTATGCCAGATTCATTGTTGAAGAGCTGCAACTAAGCTGAGCTGCTCACCACAAAACTCCAGAGGGCTCCTTTGATAGCATGGCCCATGTGAACGGGGCCTCCTGATTTGAACACAAAGCAAGCAGTAGCTGTTTCGAAGCCTGTTATTTTCTGGTATCTACTGACCATTCCTTGTTTGTGTGTGCTGTGTGCAGGCATGCATGTATACACAGGCACATGCTTGAGTCACCACACACGGACACTCTTGCCCCTACATATACTCTTGCACATATCTTATAGCCATTTGCAGAAAATTGCCCGGTTCCCATCTAATTTTCTCTTACCAGTTGTAATGTCAGTGTTAAATCAGAATTGCTGACTTTTCTAAGCATTTTGAGAGCTTTCAATGTTTTGTGTAACTTTTACTGTAGTCCTTTTGAAAGTTACTACCGAGTGGTTTAGTTCAGAGGGTGACACTTTGGATGGTCCAGGAACCTAAGTCCTGCGGCCTTGCATTCGCAAGTGTGAGACTGAGTTAGAGTTGGCCCCTCTGCGGGGTGGCACTTGAATCCCACCACACGGGTTTTTCAGGACAAGGATAGTACTCTCTCTGGCCAGTCACCCTGTTCCTCTGTACCTGAGGCTGATACTGAGAGCAGTGACAAGGAGGTAGCATCTATCTGTGGCATGGTTTTGTATCTATAATTTTGGTTGAATTTATTTTTCTCCTTAGGCAACCAACCACAGCAAGGAGTGACTCCGTATGGGCATCCTTCACACTTCTGAGTCTGCAAGAAGAGAAGACGTGATGTTTTATGTTTGCACTGAAAAACAGAAAATCAAATTTAATGCATTACTCATCTTAAAAATGTCCCTTTGCTTTTTTCATTTCTTTGCTATTTTACTATATTTTATGCTACATCTCACAAAAAAAGGTGTTTAAACAAAAAGCCAAGGAGAAGTTGTGGTTTGATTTTGTTGGATTCAACTTTAAAGTAGGTTTACAAATGTGAATCATGCAGGCAGGCCTACTCCCGGAGAGTGTGCTAGCAGACCTTTTGAAATCGGTGCTTTTGAATCTCACATTTCTAGAAAGAATGGATTGTGATGGATTTAAAGTATTTGTGTATTTCATTCATTAATGATTTGTTTTCATTTTCCAAACTATGCTGGACCAAACTACTGATTTGAAAGGCATGTCAGATCTTGACAGTAACATGACCCATTTATTCTGCATTCACCTGTGATGGTGAAACAGACATTTATTTGCATTGCTCTAATTTGAAATGTTTTCATAAGCACTTTATAAACTTTGTTCTTATTTATGTAGGACTTTGGCTTTTGTTGTGGTCAAAAGGTGCTGAAACAGATTGTTGCTTAGTACTTAAACTTCTTAAACCAAGAACTTGAACCAAGGTTTCTGTGAGAGCCACCCTAAGATGTGCGGAAGCCTGTTAGAAGTAGCTGTACTCAATTTGTTTTGAGGCAAGATGGTTGACAAGAGTCATTGTGAACGGACAACATGTAAATCCTAAAGGCCTGAAAGAACTGCAGTGGAATCGTCCAATTATTTATTGCCAGTTTTGGTTCTCCTGAACCTTATGCCAACTTAAGGGGAAAAAAAAAAATCCAGCAGCTGGCTTGAGATTCCAGTGCTCACACTTGACATGGTTTACAGAGAATCTGGCCCCAAAGTCCAGATGGCTCTGGTTTTCATAAAAGGTGTATTTGCTGTTTATTCTGTATGGTAAGTATTTGCTATTTGGAATTTAATTATTAATGTCAGTGTCAGTCTTGGTTGTGTATTGCATATACTGTATTTATAAATTGGTGCAAAAAGCACAAGTAAATTATACATCAAATTTATTATAAAGAAATAGTAACTATTTTAACTTTGTTCAAGTATGTGGTAATTTGCTCCTATTAGAGTAAAAAAGAAACCAGTAAATTATCAGTTTGTGTAACTTAAGAGTATTCCATATAATATTTTTTTAGATTTAGATGCATAAAATTTCGAATGTGAAAATTGCAGGGCATTTTAAAACATGTGGGGGATATTTTCCCATGTTCTGTTAATTCATTTTCTTTTGCCATATGATTTTACATATAATGTAGTCAAGCATACTGTGAATAGATTTGTCTATAATGAGCAGACCATGTAAATCTACTTTTTTAAAATGTAGCTAGTATAACTTTAGTAGACATTTTCTTTTGCAAATTATATATAAATAATTTATATCTTCCTAGGTGAGTTACTCATTGCAAAGTTTGACTCATGCAAATGACCTCAAATACATGTCAGCTTACTTTGCTGTGGCAACATCCATGTGAACTGCTTTGTACACTGTGAAAATATTTCACTCCAGCCTGCCCATTTTGTGTTTACTCTGGGCTGGAAAAGACTTTGCCAAAACATTAAAAACCATTCTTTTCACTAAATTAACAGTCTATCTGCTTTCAGAAGATGTATCTGTACACATTTTTGCTAGTTTTGTATATCAGGTTTTTTCCTCTCAAGAATCATACTTAGATAAGCTTATGAAGTTGTTTTGTTCAAAGTAATATATCTCTATAATGACTGCATTGGCAAAACAACCAAAACGTGAATGTTGTGCCTAGTGAGTGAGTCATGTTCCATCCTTATTTCTTTTCAAAAATTCTTTGCCAGTTCTCAGTTTGAACCATTTATTTTTTAGCTCAACATTGCAAACAGCAGTAATACTGTTTTAAGAATGAGTGTTATAATTGCATAGCATTTGTATGCACTTTATACTTTGCAGAGTTAAATTATTAATCATTTTGCACATGAAAGCTGTGGGGCATATCTTTGTTGTGTTCCTTTTGTTTTTTTAGGTGAGGAAATTATGCTAAGACTCTTAATTCCAAGATTTTATGGACAGTTGAGGAATGACCTAGAGCTGTTTTCCCCTGAGCATTATAAAGAAAATAACCAGAGGTACTTTATTCATATTTTCTCCCTATTCTGTATCTTGAGAGGTTTCTTTTTTTTTCTTCTTTTTTTTCTTTTCTAGCAAATGCATTCTTTTAACAAAGTGGTCACAAGGGAAAGCCCTGTGGCAGAACCTGGTACTGTACCTTACCAGAGGAAATTAGAGTAAGATGGAGGCCCCAGCTCCCCTTAAAGACAAGACCTTGAAATCAAATAGAGTCAGCTATACCTATCACAATTCTTGGATATAAGAAACCCATAGACAGTCTTCTTTACACCGTAGGCTTTTTCCTTATAGGGTTGCATTTGTCATTGCATTTACCCTTCTTGGCCTGGAAGCAGAAGGATCTCGGTTATAATGAGCATCTTTGACCCCTTCCAGCCACAAGGTACTAACATCAGAGATAAGTAGCAATTAGGTCACATTTTAGGCTTAGATGGGGCTAGCTGAAAGTCAGTATGATGAAAACACAAGGGTGGGATCCCACACGTCTCAAATGATTGGCAGGGGCTAACATATTAGTAATTCTCAGTTTTGTGTACTGAGATATTTCAATAAGACCTATGGCATTTTTTCCCTCATTTATAACGTTCCTATAATCCTTAATAGGTGAATGTTTGAATAGATGCTGGATGAATTACACTGGAAAACCCCAGCCCTAAATTTAGATAAGATGAATCATATATTCCCCAAATTAATTCAGGTTGAATTAAGCATGTAATATAAATTCAGTGAATTACAAAAAGCAACATTTTATGTAGGAATGATCAGATTTTAAATACAGTGAAACTTCATTATATATAATAGATCTAGACCCTCCCAAGCATTTTCCCATCCCATAATTATTAATGAAATGCTTATAGAGCAACGATTCCTCCTCCGAAAAATTTCTTTATAAGCAGCTCCAAACCAGGGGTGCCTAAGCTAGATTTTAAAGTTATAAAGAAGTTTCATTGTATTTTTAAAACCTTTTTAATGGGTGTATTTGGACAAAAGTAATCAACCCCCTTTTCACATTTTACGATGTGCAGGTTATTACATTGCTTTTTACGTGTGGAAAAGTTAGCCTGCATTTATTTTTAAATGCAGTTATTAAAACATTTTTGTATTCCCCATCAATGAAAATTTTCAGTGTGAACAAATGGTGAATCATAATCGAGACAGTTCAGTGCTTATTTTCTGTAGGTTTTAGCAAAAAAAAATTTATAAACCATAAAATATTTATAGATCAGGATGGTAACTTTACATAAAGATTTAATATTTTCCATTGTCTCTGTTCTGAGTGCCATGCTTGTAACATTGATTGATAGAAGGTGGACACTAGGCAACTGGTAGTAAAAGTTCATTTTTTACTGAAAAATTCAGGTACATTAGCCATTTGTTATTTTATAGTGGACCGTTTTAATGTTTGTTATTTGTTGGCAAAATAAAAGTGCCTTAAGTTAAAAGTTTGTTTTAAGATCCATTAAAGAAATCGGTATCAGTTCATAATGCATTTATTTACAAGTCCTTTTATTTTGCATGTTCATTGTAAATTTAATACTGTAAATGTATTCAAATTCATTTACATGCCTATGGCTGCCTTTGATTAAACTTCTTCCAAAAAATAAATTCTGCCCAGATGTTGACTTTAATTTCATGTCAGATTACTTCAATATACGTTGCTGCGTAATCACTACCAAGTGGATTCTTTGCTGTGCATTTGTATATCCCAGAATCGGAGGTTTGCGGATTCTGAATGACTAGGGTACCTTGTAAGTGAAGCTGCTCACTTCCACGTGTCCTCCCTTTACTTGCTGTTGAGACAAGGGAGTGGCCAGGTAACTCCCACGTGATTTCTGGCTTGGGAACTCCCAGGGCCACACAGTGGAGCTGAAAGGCTGCCCCTGTCCTGGTGACAATGCTCCTGGGTGGACGATTTGTAATTCGGGGAGGGTAGGCTACAATCATTACTGGAACTGTAATCAGTGTATGACCAACACTATTTTGAGCCTTACAGATATAGTTTCCCCGGTCATAAACTGTTGCTTCTTTGATGACTAAGGTGCCATTGTCATGCAATATGTATTTCCCAGTAATTTGAGGCCTGTCTACTACATAACCACTTGGCATAGTCCATTTGATATTTGGCTTAGGAATTCCATCAGACACACAGTGCAGTGAAAGAGACTCTCCACTGAGGCCTTTTACTGTCCCTGGTGCATATGTAAGAATAACTGGCTTCTGGCCAATTTCTAATATGATTAATTTCTCAATATAGCCAACTTTATTCCTAGCAGCGCAGCGATATTTTCCTGCATCCTCCCGGGTTGTCTTATAAATGATAAAAGAACCATTGCTTGCTATAAGATACTGATGATAACTTTGTGGTCCATTGGAAAATTGTGTGCCATTTGGTAAAATCCAGATTATCTCAGGTGGTGGGTTACCGTCAACAGAGCAATTCAATACTGTGGACTTTGCCATCTGGGCAACTGTTTTTTCATTAAATGGATTTCTGAATGTCGGTCTTCTCAGCATTTCCAGTACTTCTAACTGTACTACCAACACACTCTCTCCTCCTTCATTGCGAGCCACACAGATAAATTCGGCTGAATCGGAAAGCCTCACATTCCTAATTTCCAAGGTTCCATTTTTATGGACTGTGATTCTGCTTCCATAGTATGGGGCTGTGAGGAAAATATTGTCTGGCATGATCCACATGACTTCAGGAGGTGGTGTCCCGTCAGCTCGGCAGTCAAAGTGTTTTTTGGCATGTCTCACAGCTGTGGCTTTAATAACAGTTCTGTTTGTATACAGACCATTGATTAATGGAGGTTTAGAGACAATGTCCAGTTTGTACATTTTGGTGTCATCCCCACTAGGATTTCGGGCTACACATACGTACTCTCCAGAATCAAGCAGTTTCACTTTGTTGATGATCAGAGACCCATTGGCATGAAATGTGTACCTGTCGGTGGAGAAGGAAATCATGTCGTTGGAAGGCAGCAACCAAAATATTTTTGGTTTGGGATCCCCGATGACCTCACAGTCAAGGACAGCTGCGTCTCCAACTTGGATTCTCTTGTTGGTTTTGTAATGCTGCCTTATGCGGGGAGCAGCCGTTACAACTGTTAAGTGGACCTTCATTTCATCCTTCCCTAGGGTGTTCTGGGCATAGCAAGTATAATCTCCTTCCTCTGCTACCCCAACTTTGTTGAAGTATAAGGTTCCATTGTTAAAAAGGGTATACCTTCCGGTCCTGTGGCCACTGTCATCGGCGTGCATTGCATTGTTGATCATGGTGCCATCAGGCAAACTCCAAGATATCTCGGGCATTGGGGAGCCAGAAGCTTTGCAGTCTACTTGGAAATCTTTCCCGTGGAGCACTTGCTTTCTAAAATACTGCTTGTGGTCAATTTTGGCAGGCTTCAGTATTAGGCTGACATGCATCAGGGTCAGATCATCCCCCATTTTGTTTCTTGCCACACACAAGTAGATACCACTGTCTTTTTCTGTTACTGATCCAATAAACAGGGATCCATTTGGATAGACCTGGATCCGGCTGCCCATTCTACGGAGAAAAGAGATTCCAGTATGCAGCTGTTAGCAATGAGAGAAACTGTTCTACTCAGGGTTGCCTCTCTCTGCCCCCGCTTTATTGAAGCTTGACCAACGAAAATTGTGTATCTTTTAGGTGTAGAATATGACATTTTGATACACATACAGTGTGCAGTGCCCACCATTAATCTAATTAGCATATCCATCACCTCACATAGTTACCTGTTTTTGGTGTGTGGTTAGCTTTAAATTGTTGCAATAAAAATTAAAATTACCAGCTTATTCTAAGTCATTAAAAATGATTGAACAGGTATAACTTAGTGCAAATAAGTAGTATTTCTCAGATGGATTTCAAATAAATCTTCGTTACATAGTAATTTGTTTTTAATCTTAATGATGAGGTAAGTGCTAGAAATATGGGATTTCTAAACACCATGACTTCCTTGACCATTTTACATATCAAGTGAACTAATTGGAACCACAAACATGGTCATTTAATAATATATACATATAATAATAATATACGGGTCATTTAATTATATATAATAATATACCGGTCATTTAATAATATATATATATAATAATAATATATACCTGGTCATTTAATAATATATACAAGTTCAGTTGCTCTGAAAAGATGCCAGATGATACTTCCTAAAAAGCTACTAGTAACAAAATGATTACCGAATTATTTGGTTAGCACTGTGGGAGGCCAATGCAGGCAGGTCACTTGAGGGCAGGAATTTGAGACCATACTGGCCAACGTGGCAAAACCCTGTCTCTACTAAAAATTCAAAAAATTAGCTGAGCATGATGGCACATGTCTGTAATCTCAGCTACTCGGGAGGCTGAGGCACGAGAATCACTTGAACCCAGGAGGCTGGGGTTGCAGTGAACTGAGATCCCGCCATTATATTCTAGCCTGGGTGACAAAACTGAAACTGTTTCAGAAAAAAAAAAAAAAAAAAAAAAAAAAGCAACTTTCTTATTAAGAGAATACCAACCCAGGGTTCCTTAGAAGGTTGTTGCAACATCTGCCCTCTGGGGGCAGCTGTAGAGTGACTGGTTTCAGCACTGGGTTGAGCTGTTACGGAACACCATTTTTCTCCAGGTGTACAGCAGCGTCACAGCCTACCATTACCACATTTAACCACAAGATGGCAGATCTTTCCTGGTAAAACTAAATCTAGTTTTTCAGAAAGACCAGTGGAGACTCAGTTGGCGCTAAAAGTGCTATCAGGGATACCCATTGGAGAAACTGCCTTTCTTATTTTTTGGCAACATGGACTAAATAAGTAGATAAAACTGGAGAGAAAAGTAAGAACTGTTTTTCATGGCATAAGTGCTAACCAAGTCAAACAGCCTTAAGTCATTTTTCTCTTTTTATTTGATTGATTTATATTTTTGAGATGGGCAGTGGTGAGACCATGGCTCACTGCAGCCTCCGCCTCCTAGGCTCAAGCAATCCAGCAACCTCAACCTCCTGAGTAGCTGAGACTATAGACACACCGCTATGCCCCGATAATTTTTTTTTTTTTTTTTTTGTAGAGACAGGGTCTCATTGGGTTGCCAAGGCTGGTCTCCAACTTCTGGGTTCAAGTGATCCTCCAGCCTTGGTCTCCCAAAGTGCTGGGATGACAGGCATGAGCCACCACACCCAGCCATCAAGTAATTGTTATTCTCCAGCAAAGGTAAATATGGAAAGTATTACAGTAAAATTTTTTAAAAAGTGTTTAAGTATGGAAGCAACTTCTCAGGCATATAAACCAATGTAAAATCATCATCATGAATACATGTAAAAGGAATGGAAACTGCCAGGTGTTTTTGCACTGATTGTTTATAGCTGAAAAATTGATATTTAGAGAGATTTAGTAGCTTGCTTTAGGTCACAGAGCTGGTTCTCAAGCCTTACGCTTTCCACCGTGCTATATACTGCCACCTACTATTATTCTTTCCTAATGCTTTTTAAAAGCATTGGTTCATAAACTTGGCTAAATATTAAAATCACTTGAGTTTAAAATCATACTGATGTCTGGGTCTCACCTCCAGAATTTGACTTAATGGGTATGGAGCATGGCGTAGGCATCACGATTCTTTTAATTTTCCAGAATAAAAATTGCCATGTTCAAGAACCACTGTTCTAACTTGGTTTTCAATGAAGATCCCTCATCAGCTGCATCAAAATTACATGGGACTGAGTTTAAGATGCATAGTTCCTGGCTTCAGTTTCTTGAAATTCTGCTTCAATCGTTCTGGCCAGGGACATAGAAACCCACACTCTAACAAACTTTCCAGCTAACTTATAAACAATTAAGTTTGAAAACAAGTGTCAAATTTTAGTGTGCAACCAAATCACTTGAAGGGCTTTTGAGAACAGATTGCTTATTGAAACAAAATCAGAGCTTCCGATTCAACAAATTCCCAGGCAGTGCTAATGCTACTGCTGGGGGCCTTTCCTTGGAGGAGGACTGGCTTACAGAGATATCTCCTGCACCCAAGAGCTGGTGCAACTAAAGGTTGTGACACATAAGAGAAGACAGAATTATTGATGTTTATTTTAATAAACTAATACTTTTGAGAGAGAATTTACTTTTGAAAATAGAAGTTTCCCAAGTAACAGAATTCTTAATATAAGATTAATGCAGAGGCATCTTCAGCCTTTCCAAAGCACAAAGCTCACATTTCATAGCTCAGTATTTAAAAATTCTAAACCTAAACAAATTTCAAGTCAGGTGATTTTTGATGACATTTGAAAAAACTTGAAAATTAACATTTACTTTTGAACTAAAGATCACAAGTTAAATTTATTAGCTATAGTGAGTATTAACTTATGTGACTAGGAAAAAAATATATTCTTCAACTCCTAAGCATGAGTACAAGCTCACATTTACTATGTGTAATTTTTTCTTGCATGGATGTTTTCTATTAATAAATAAACATATATAAAATGGAAATTCTCCTCGTTTTTTTGTCATGTTATGGAAAATCATTGTGTAAAGTCATGCCAATTGCAAAAAACCTCATAGGTTATCATTTTTGAAGATAGGGTTTAATCTATATAGAAAGCCAGC